GACAATGATGCAAACTTGAAAGTGAGGCGGAGGAGAGGGAAGGAAAGGAAGAGAGCTTTAAATAAAGCTGAGGTTTTTATTATCTGAAAAAAGTGAGCATAATTCCATATTTAAGACTGACCAGAAAAGCTATGGCTCCAGAGAAAAACTTCCTCCACACAGGGAAAGATACAACCATAATGTCAAAATGGATTTCCCTGGACCACAGAATTTTTCTTCCTTTTATTTGTGCCTTATAATTTTTCTCTAACGATATACTAGTTGTTTAATAAGCGTTTATTTTTAAACAAGAATGATCAGATTTCATGGTCTAAAAAATATTTGAGATGACTTTTGAAGGTCATTTATTTTGGCAGCCAGCATAAACATGGGAAGTGTTTCTGTTAATGGAAAATGATGAGCTCAGGCCCTGTCTGTAGGTAGGCAGGAGTTAGTGTAAATGTAGAAGACAGTGGCAGATAAACCTGGAGCTGCATCGCAGTTAGGCACTTTTGTATGAAAGTAAACAGATTTACCCATGTGAAGCAACAAAGGGTTTCACCTAAGGAGATACGCAAAGGAAAAAACTGACCAACAGAAATAAAGGCCTCGGAAACAGAGGGCCCTGAAAAGTGCTGGATCAAAGGGGCTTTCAGCAGGAGCATGATTCCTCAGTTTGGTGCTCCATATTTAATCTGATTCAGCTACTTTGCATGACTGCTTCATTTGAAACTGCCCCAGTTGGCATCTTCTTTCCCTCTGCTCTGTAGGTTGCACATGGCCTCTTTTCTACTTAATGGCATTCTTTCAAGTTCAGCTCCCACTACTAACTACCTCATTCAAGAAAATGATTAGCCCAGTTCATTTTTGGTACCAGTTGAACAACATCATAGAGGTTGGCTGTCCTTGGGTTGAACAAGGTGGGGCAGAAAGCAACCATCTTTTGTGTATCAGATAGAAAGGGGCTGAAAACAGGAAAGTACAGCCAGGGGCAGTGGCTGGGACATTTCCACCTAACATAGGGAACAGCGGGCTTAGCTGTTCATCTGGTCTCAGTGTGTCCCCTAAAACTTATGTGTTGGGAACTTAATCCTCAGTGCAGTGTAGTGAAGTGTAGCCTTATGGGCAAAGCCCTCATGAATGAATGTTTAATGGCCACTATAGAAAAGGGTTGTGAGAGTGGGTTTGCCTCTTTCTACCTTCTGCCATGTGAGGATGCAGCAAGAAAGCCACCAGGAGCCAGCCCCTCGATCTTAATACTTCCTAGCCTCCAGAACTGTGAAAAATAAATTTCTATCCTTCATAAATTAACTCAGTCTCAGATATTGTTACAGCAGCATAAAATGGACTGACAGCTGTCCAGCTCAGAAAATAGGCCAAAATATGAGTCTTAAATTCCAGAATAAGAAAATCTGAACTTAAACTATGTAGGTTACTGTGACTTTAGAAAATTCTCTCTATCCCCCTGCTTTGTTTTTTAGGTGGCTTCAGAAAGAAGGTGACCTCACCAAGGAACTTTCACAAAACCTAAGGCAGATCTCAGTGGAGGATAAGTCTGTGTGGACTCTCCATGATGCTCAGCAGTAAAATCTTTAATTTAACTGGCTCCCTGACATGGGAAAATATTCTGTACAAGATACAATATCCACTCCAAGTATATCCTCAAGCAAGTGAGAGTGGGCCTGTTGTGAGGCTAAGTGTTTATAAATGCTTTTTGCTCCTAAAAGTGAAGAGGACAAAAAGTTAATAAAGATTGTTTACTGACGGTGAAAAAAATAAATTTAGGAAATAAGTTAGATACAAATGTTTCTTGGCTTTGGCCAATTCTCCTTGGGAGACTTTTTCCTTGGGAGATTTTTAAGATAGGAAGACGTAAACTTACGCCTTTCATATCCAAAACAAACCGTGATTATGACTATATATTTAATCACAAGAAGTCATGGTATACTCTAAAACATGTAAGCATGAGTGATTTGTATCTATTCTAATAGAAACTTATGACATATACCATCTAAACTCTGTATAAAAGGCAAGATGGGTTTCAATAACTGTTTAATAAATAGCAATAAACTATTTCCAACCAGAGAACCTTTGATCTTATTTCTTAGGACATGCGCAGACCTCCTAACTTCTAATTTTCCCTTTTGAAACAAGGTTCATCATTTGGAATAACTCCCTCTCTCTGCCCCATCATTCACTGACATTTTCTACAAATCAAATAGTTTTAACATCAAATTAAGTTTTACAACTTTTCATAATCTCATAATATCCTCTCTTCACCAAGATACTCAGTGATTCTTATTTCTTTTGCTTCTTAGTTTTTACAAATAAAGTAACCTGCTGAATAGGTGTGTGGCTCACACAAATGAAGTCAGACAGCTATCAGTAACTTCAAAGTGGGGAAGAGACAAGTAAAAAATGAAAAACTGGAAATTCTTTCATGTTAACATTTTATTTAAATCAGTACAAGCACCATGCTTAACAAAAGACTGTCCAAAATAAACATGCAATATGAACTAGCAGAGACTGAAATCACAGCTTGAGAAGTTGTGCCAGTTGTTGGTTTTGTTAAACAATGACAAAGAACTGTTAAAATTCACAAGACTAAACCATTAATGTTTCAAGCCTCCTGAATGAGATTGTATTGGACCATCTAGATCAGTGGGAGTTGCCCTGGCATGTTAGTGATCTCAAACAATATTCAAGTAATTATTTGCGTATGAATTATATTCCAAAAGCAAGAAGTTTCCATCACAAGCTTAACTTAGCTGTTTTTAAACATTATAGGAATATCTTCACTGATTTGAAATGTCAAATGGCCTAACAGGAAACAGGATTCTCAAGAATAGTCAACTTGGGACCAATGGTTTCAAGTGGCCTAGATTATTTACATTCTTCCAGAAATACAAAGTAAGATTTGTCCAGAAATGTTGAAACACTTAAGTTGTAAAGGCTCAAATTTATAGATTCCAGTATTATCAGTCTATTGAACAAACAGGAAGTGCAACCATACTAAGAATACTTGAATGGACAGAATACAAGTTACTCTCTACTTCCACCAAATATCAGCATTTAAACTTTTATGAAAATATCTATTTATCACTAGTCCACATGCAGATTAATGACATTGCTTGGGTTTTAAAAGTAGTTCAAACATGTTTTTAGTTCACTTTCCTTAATATCTACGTGGGTAGGGGAAAAGAGCCAAATTTAATTTGGCAATAAACTCCCTTAACTGGAAACTTTTAGTTAAAGTGTCAGACAAGGATACAGCTTATGGCTACATTTGACTCCTGAAAATAGGAGATAAAAAAGGAGGGATGTGCAAACAGACATTTTGCCACACAGATTATTTAGTAATGACAATAAAAAAATTTAGCAACACCCTCTGAGACAAGAATATGTTTAACTGTACTAGGCATTTAGTAAACTTTTTAGAAATAGACAATTTGAACATTTTCGAAGTCAATTAAACAAAAACAGTACACTTTTTTTTTTCCCTAACGTAACTGCTTGAATACCAGAACAAAGTGATTACTATTCAAAACTCAGGTATTTTGGAATTTCAGCATAGTAACCTGAGGACAGTTTTCTTCCGATGTCAGTTATGCTGCCACAAAACCCAACAAAATACATACTTAAATTACTAGTTGGTTCTATCAGATGCTATGCAGAGCTTATACACAAGGCCCACAATCTCAAAACTAATGATGACTTAGAAGACCATGAAGGAGATTCCCAGGAAAAAGTTGCTGTCAAAAGGAAAGAGTAAGATTTAAGGCTGAATGGGAACTGTTGTACCAGAAAGTTATGGAATGTAAAAATCGGAATTATGCAATCTGTAGTTTCTATTTCTGGAAAGGCAGAAAAAGAAACTAGACAATACATTTTAAAAGAACAATGAAAAATTTGGTTCAAGGAAAATTTCTATAAATACTTGAGGAATACTTTAGAGCATGAGATCTGCAGATCTCCCTACATGATAAACAGAATTTAAAAATGTTCTACTGACCCCTAACCCAGTCTGTTGTCTTGCAAAACTCACATTACTGATAAGAAACCAGATAAACTCAAAAAAGCATAGCTCTTAAACACCTGTGTATGGCAAGTGAGTACTATCTGACCTTATGGAGGACTTCCAAATTAAAAAAAAAAAAAGTAAACTAAAATGCACAAGGCTAAAGAAGGAACCTCATTAAAAAATATACATTCTCACAGCACTAGTTTCTCTTTTTGATGTAAATCAGATGAAAGGAAATCCTATTTACTTCATTAAAAACATTAAAACCACTTTCTACTCACTTGGGTGTCATCTGCATTTCTGCAGAATTATAAGCAAGTTATTCTCCAATATTAAAAAATCTGCTTAAAGAATACTTAAACTTCCTGGGTGAAGTTTTTCTTTCTCTCTGGAAATTGGAATAAAGGAACTTTCTCCATTCATTAACTAAAACAAATCCTTCTTCTAGCACTTGCTCATCTCCAACTTATAATTGTTTCTGACTTCCAAGATAAGTGAAGCCAGTGCTGGGAGCAGAAGATGCTCTATTCAAAATTGTTCAAACTATTTTCACCTCTTTATTAAAGTTGGCACAGAGCCTTCAAAAATCAAACACAAAGAATGAATGAATGAAAACTATACCAAAGTGAAAAGAATGCCTTTGCTAGTTTTGAAATGACTACGACATTCTTAATAAAAGAATTCACTCACTAAATTTGGTTAGTCTCTAGTCTCTGGACATTTTATCAAATTAACACTCAGCAGTTTATTAGAATTCTTGCTTTATCCTTCATCTAATATGACTGATTTAGCCAATCATTCAGGTGTCCAGTTTAGAATATCTTCTGGCATTTAGGATAAAAGGTGTGATTTCTATTGATGTGTTGTTATTAACTATGGCCAAAATTTTATATAAGTAATTCTTACATATGGCACAAAACTAATCACAAGTATACCTAAAATTATTAACTCTTTACTTGCCATATATTCACTAATGCAAGCAGATAGCTGGAATTTTAAAAATAAGAAGTTGATTTTTAATATAAATTTCAGATACACATGTTAGAAAATTGTTTTACTTGGACCCTTTAAAAAAGTATTAATTTCACCAAATCTAGAATACTAGCAGTGTAAAAGTCTTAAACTAACTTTAAAGGTAACAAATCAAAGGCACAGTATTAACACATTTAAAATAATTAGTGTTCACAAGATGTTAGGAAGAGCTTTATAAATAAAGTATTATTAACTAGATTCAAAATTATTTAGAATTGATGTAATTGGGAATGAAGCCCTTGATTATTTCAATCTTCCAACTTCTAAGAGTAAGATGCTATTTTCCATAAGACAAAAACCTAACAGTCATAACTCTATCAAAAAATCTAACTCCCAGACCTTAAGAATGAGTGATTGATGAAGCTAAGTTTCTAGACCTGATTTAAAAAGGTAAAGGAAACCAAAAGAGGTACAAAAATTGGTGAAAAATGTACTTGTAATGCAGGTTACACTACAGTAAATTATTATTCATGGCTCAAAATTAGGTTACTCAAGTCTTTAACCCCAAATTAACTTCAGTGATTTGACAAGTGATAGTATGCTATTTTCATTTACAAACTGCTAATATCCAGTATTTGTCAAAAGGAGGCAACTGTTGTCTCTCATAATCTAATACCCACTCTCCAATGGTGTCTGCAAATAGTAACAAATTCTGAACCGTAAGTTATAGAAATTAGTCACAAGAGTGCAAAAAGTCCCTGGAGAAAAGTTGTCCACCTAACAATTACAAATATAAGGAAACAGTTTACGAAGTTTTATTACTATGAAGATGATTTTCTCTTTGTTCAAACTTTGCACAAATGAAGAATTTTTCTTTACTGCAGGAAACAAACTGTAACAGTGCATTTTTAGGCATAAATAAGTATTTATGTCTGGTTCCAGTATGGTCAGGTTAATACATAAATACTTTAGAAACACAGAAGTTCACATTAGTGGAAAAATCCAAGTTTCTCACGCAACCATTCTTCAGTTAGGTCTTCAGTGTTTCTTATTTCAAATACCTAAAAGGAAACAAAACAAAGCAACACAACCACCTTAAGTCACACTCTTTAAACTTAAAAAAAACACAACACATTATATATTTGAGTATTAAATACAAAATTCAGCCTCCTTCATATGGGTTGTGAATCAAACTGTGTAAATCAGATGCACCTTTTTTTAGGCAGTACTTTACTTCTTTAAATGCTGAGTAATCAGCAAAGGATAGCAATCAAGATGACATTAAACCAAAATTCTCTTAAAAGCACAAATCTATAAATATTCTTCTGTAAATCTTACTCATTAGAAGAAACAACCAAATATACACATCTAAATCACTCTAGCTAGAAACTGGAAGAACATAATGCCAGTCCTCCATAGTTTGAACATCAAATGAAAACACCAACCGTAGATTGTTCTGATAAGGACTGAAGTCCAGTCCACAGGTACCAAGCTCCAGGAAGAATGTGCATTATCACAGGCAGAAAGTACGACTATAGGGAGACACAGCTTGCAGCAGAACAGATGGGATTTGGGACCAGATGTGAATTTGAACACTTGCTCTGTCTTACTCTCATGCAAACCCGGGCAAGTCGTTCATCTTCTGAACCTGTTTTCCTATCTACAGAACAGGGATACTACCATCAACCTCACAAAGCTACGGTAAGGATTCAATGAGATTATGTACAAAAGTAATTTGAAAATATAATGTGTCAACTCTAGCAATCTGGGGCACAGAGAGGGTTAGAAAAGACATAAGGCTGTTAATAGAACTCCTTTGCAGTTCTGGGTTGACTAAACCCAGACTTTGCACATGCTGCTTATCCACCCAAAGCCTTCCAGCAACTCCTGAATGTTCCTATGATAGGAAAAAAGTAGTATGTAGAAGTTGATGGTATCAGTGATAATCACAGGGGCTTAAAAAACAAAAGCAGGGCACACATAAAGATGTTCCCTGAGATGGTGAGAAAGCACGCAAGGGGAGAACATTGATGCTGTCCTTAAAACCTGAAACATTCTCTAATACAGCTTTAACGATACCGTATTTTATTTCAAAACCTTAAATATACCTATTTTTTCCAACTCAAAACAATTATATAGAAGTTAAATTTGATAGCAAGGACCTCTTACTCTTCACCTTCAAAAATGCAAGACAGTGGAGATACATGACACCTTAACGCAAGTGTCTCATATAAAAGTATTGTAGCTTTATCAATATACTTAACAATTTAATTTTAGATTTGGGAACAACATAGTTAGCTACATAGTACAAAATTCCAGCATAGAATCTGGTTCACTTTAGACTACGAGAAAGGGCTCAGGAAGCCTCAATATGACCTTATTTATTAGAAATTATACCATGGAAGATAAAGAACTCACAATAGATTTAATCAGTAGCTTTTCCGAAGTTGCTCACATTTTTAATGTGATTTCTTCTAATTGACTTATGAAAAAAATACAAACACTATTATTATTCTATTTTCTTTAATTTTTTTTCGGGGGGGGGTAGGCAGTACTGGGGTTTTGAGCTTAGGGTCTCCTGCTTGCTAGGCAGGTGCTGGTACTTGAGCCACACCCCAGCCCATTTTGTTCTAGTTATTTTTCAGATAGGGTCTTGTGCTTTTGCTTGGGTGGGACTCAACAGCTATCCCCATCTCTGCCTCTCACATAGCTGGCATTACTGACATAAACCACCATGCCCAGCTTGTTCTTTGAAATGGGGGGTGGGGCTCACTAACTTTTTGGTTTTTTTTTTTTTTTACTCAGGCTGGCCTTGAACTGCAATCCTCCTACTTCCACCTCCCAAGGAGCTAGGGAGTATGAGCCACTGCACCCAGCCCCTAACATCCTGTTTCTAACTAATTAACCTTGTCCTGCATTAAAAACAAACAAACAAACAAACAAACAAACAAAAAAACCCAACTTAATCATCCAGGCTATTTTAGCTATTGTTCTATATTATAAGGGAAAATATACTATCAACAAGCAAGTCAAATATAAGTATTACCTTGGTTAATTCAGCTGTTTGAACTAACTTATTCTTACTCCCAGCATACATCATCTGTTGTTCAGGTTTACATCCTAGAAAAGAGAGATTAGTGTAGAAATGAGGTAAAGATTTTTAAAAAATAATGATTTTCATTACTTTTTATTTTTAAAAAACTTTTTTTTTTCTTTTTTTTGGGTGGTACTAGTATTTGAACTCAGGGCCTCGTGCTTGCTAGGCAGGCACTTAACACTTGAGCCACTCCACCAGCCCTTTTTCTGTGTGTTTTTTTTTTTCCAAGATTGGGTCTCATAAACTATTTGCGTGGGCTGGCTTCAATGAGCGATCCCCCTGATCTCTACCTTTGGAATAGCTAGAATTACAGGCATGAGCCATCAGTGCCCTGCTGAAAAAGACATACTTAAGATTTCCTTTGCTACTGAGTTTACAAAAGCTCTGGTGTAAATGTCTACGGGCCGATCAATATATTGAGTCTTATATTGCATAATGCCTACAGAGACATAGCTATAAATAAGCCTACAGATCAACAAAAGAAAAAGATTCTAGACCTCTATATGTTGACTTACATAGCCTTGCAAACACTTTGTTCAGCACTACCTTCCTTTTGACACTGAATACTAAGATCAATTTTATGGATCCTTAAAACATGTAAGTTTTGAGATAGTGGTGGGGCAGGGATACGTGCTCTGAAGAAAAGTTAGTCTGCTTACAGATTTACTTAAAAATATAGTACAGCATATTTTAAGGGCTAAGAAAATGACACAGAAAAGAGCTCAGTGAGTGCATTCTTTCCTGCGAGCATGAACACTGGTGGTAAGGGAGTTTGGGTGATGAGTCCTTAAGTGCAATGATCCATTTCAACATCTAAGCTGTTCTGGAACAGTCTCAGGATTACAGACAAATCACTCTGGATTACTTTTAAAAGGTAAACACAAATACATATCATGATTATGCAAAGTTTACACACTTACAAACAAGACTAAAATAAAATATGTAAGAAAATATAGTTCTGATATCTAAAAAAGTGTCACAGTATTCCAAAGTCATTAAGACATATGATTTGACCCAACAATTATCCTTGCAGGAATTCATCTAAGAAGGTAAACACATTCTAAGAGATAGTGCTTTAGAGTACCTGCTTTCTAGTGACGTATGCAGGTGCATGTAAACACAAATGCACACCCCCAAATTGAATTATTCAACAATCTCATCTTTAAAAAGAGGCATGGCCTACTAAGTCCGAGGCCAAGTTCAAACCCAAGTACCTCAAAAATAAATAAATAAAGCATAAAGTCTATATAGTAAATGATGATTTAGTTAGATCAGAGCCAAGGACACATTATTTAAAGAAATTCACTTACCAACAGGACTGGAGAAAATAAAGCACAGAGGATATGAAACTCTTCCATCATCATGTTGATATTTATAACTATACACAATGAAAGTTTTTCTCAAGTTAAAGAAACTGAAGTTCTTGCTCTGAGACAGGTCATTCACCAATACCCAGGGAGCCAGTGAGTAGTAAATTGATACCTTATGCACTTAGGCCATGACTTCATTATTATCTTTCCACAAAATTATAAATGGGACCCAAAGGTAAGTTACAAAATCATGTAATCTCTGAAAAAGAAAATTTACTAAAGTATAGACTTGATATGGTTTGTTCTCAATTTTTATTTTTAATAAAGAGAATTATTCTTAGTCATCCCACTAAGACATCAACTTTTCAATCAATTTTCTTAGCCTAAAATATAATGCATACTTTCATTTGATCGTGATAATAATGTAGGACATTAAAAAAAATATGTATCTTTTCAAAGTTTAATCAGTTCATGACTAAAATGCTAATCACAAATGCAAACAAATCTTTCTAAAGCACTAAGAAAAGGATATCGAGGTTGCCGTTCAGGTAGCTCATCTTTAAGTTCATCCGGAGAAATGCCCTAGTACCACAGAGAAAGCAACTTTAAAGCACACACCAATAGCGTTATCTCCTAAAAGCTGTAATTCTACTAATAGCTACGATTTCATTATTACCTGCCACAAAATAAAATTACTTCCATTTATTAACTAAACATGGGGCTTAAAGACACAGTATTCTTTCTATGCTTATGCTCCAATTATCAGGAAATACTGCATGAAATAAGCCAACACCTCGGAGTAATCATCAGATTTCAGAAATAAAAAAGTTAATTTATTTCCACTCTAGTTACTTAATAACTAAATACTCAAGTTGTAGGATTTTAGTTTTAAATTACTCTCCAAGCAATTTAGAAGTTATAAAGTTGACTCACTTTTTACTGGGCATCAAGCCCTAACTTCTACCACTTATTAAACTGGATCTCATTAATGCTTTTAGAAGGTAGTTAAATTAGTAAGAATTTAGTATAAAATAATTCGTCCACGCTTTTCATGCATAACGAGTATGTATTTAAAGAAGGTTCAGAACTCATTTTAGAAGTACATGTAACTAACACAGCATCTTTTGAACAATAATTGCTTAACAACAAAAACTGTTTTTAGCTCATTAAACAAACCTCAAGTTCCTCATCCAGTACCACCAGGCGTTTATCCTTGTCAATTTTCACTAAAATGAAAATAAAATGAGTAAAATGATGATTCTAACGTGATCTTGGATCTACCCCACCCAAACAGTCTCAGACCTTTTGGAGGGCATCTAAAATTAAAACATCAAGAAACACAGCATAAAACTCATTTGCAGTTTTAGTTAATGGTCTATCAGCTTTGCTTTTGAAGCAGTTACCATTTAAGCCTTTATCCAAAATTCCCAGCACCTAGTTTGCTTATTTAGAACTTTCTGTCAACTCCAGTCATGAAGAACTTTGAAACTCAAAAAAGCAGCTTCCTAGAAGAAAAGCAAAGGTCTGAAAGGGTGACTATGATTGAGATGTATCCATGTGAAACATGGTTATAACTGCAAGGGAAAAGTGGACCAGGGGCCAGGACAGAGAAACCTCGAGATTTCCAGCTTCTCCAAAGTTAGGATTTCATGGCGCAGTACCATTATTCTGAGAAACTGAATTACCAAATAGCATTGATAGCTGCGTTCAAATATATCTAGCATAAATCAAAGCCAAGTCAAAGTAAGCATAGGTAATCTAAGACTTTATTCTTTTCCAGTAGTCTGAAAAGTTGGCCATGTTTTAGTTTTGCACAAATCTTGTAGTACATCCTATAAAATATAAGATGATCTCAAACAGCTGTTGTGGTAAGATGGCACTAGCATGCATTTCCACTTTTAAGAACCGCATTATGTTCATAATGGAGTCAGAACTCATGACAAGGTGCATCACCTCTGCTTAATTCACAAACTAATGCAGCTGTTCAGCACAGTCTGCAGTTTTACATTTCACCTCCTCACTATTCCTTCACCATTAAAAATCATCACCCACATACTGAATATTATCTATGAAAACAAGGATATCTGCATAGTATCAGATACTATGGCCCACAGTGGGAGAGGCAAAATGCAAATCATTCTTTCTATTTTCAGAAGACAGAAACATTTAAAAGCACTCTCCATGAAAGTAGAATTTCAGTATAGAATTTTAATAAGACGCAAAGTCAGTCTGGACCCCAAGGTTGAACTTTACCATTTTCGGTATGGACAAAGGTTTCTGTTTGAGGCCGAATACCCAATCTGTTTTAGTCTCCCAAGAAGGATGGAGTTGGACTGGTCACTACAAATGGGAATCCTCCTTCCCCAAGCAAACAAAATGATCATTTTTCCAGGGTTGTGTAGGCAGATGAGAGAACTACTGGGGGCAGGGGGTGAGACATTCCAAATCTGTTTCCTGACATTACAAACAGTTGCTGATTAATTTTTAAAGGTAGTATGGGGGGAATGTAATAGGTAAAAGCAATGTTACTTTCTAAAGGCTCAGTTTATTCAGTGTAGCTGTAAGATAAAAACAAACTAAACCTTTGAGACAATCATTTTCAGCTTACTTATAATGGCAGCATTGTTTGTTTCTTTGCGGAAACGGAACTTTCTCAGCTTTTCCACCAAATCTTCAGCAACATCACAAACCACCAAAGACTCACTCTATGATAGAAGGAGAAAAAACATAAAATGCCATGACTTCAATATATATCTACATGTTAAAAGAACTTTCGAATCTACTAATCTTTGGGTCCAATACTGTTTAACCATAAATGTTTGTTCAGGACTGGAAGCATAATTCAAGTGGCAGAGCACCAGCTTTGTAAGCGCGAAGCCCTGAGTTCAAACTTCAGTCCCACCAAAAATAATTATAAAAAAAAGAGTTTGTTCATATTTTTGTAAGGTATACTTTTTCCCTTTGGCTAAAAAATGTTTCAAAAGTCAAGAACATAAAAATGGGCATTTCATCAGAATTGAAAAGGCAAGGAGGAAAATGGGAAAAGTCAAGGATCACCATCTGCTGTTAGATAGGGCAAGCATAATATTTTTACACTGTGCAGAAAGAACAGGAAAAATCATCTTTTTTGTTTGGACTTCACAATTATGGGAAAAAAATTAAAATAACCAAAGCATAAAAAGCAAACCATAAGACTAAAGATGAACAACATCTTATATCTTAAGTGAGTATGGAAATTAGAGCTATTAAGAATGTACAAAAGCAAAACAAGGTGAAACAAATCCAAAGGCTAAAAGAACTATTTAAAAATTATGAAGAAATATGAGAAGCTTCCCCAAAAATCTAGCAAGGAAATATTCAAATGCATTATTCCTTTAGTAGTGCAATGCATAACTGCACACAAAAGAATGGAAGTATTTGAGGTTTTTCACTTGTGTTTGAGAAGGGGGGTCTTACTATGTTGCCCAGGATGGCCTTGAACTTGTGACCCTTCTGCCTCAGTCTCCCCAGAAGCTGGGATTATAGACATGAACCACTGCACTTAGCTATTTTCTGTTTTTAGTATGTAAAACTCCAAACACATATAAAAGTAGAGAACAGAACAGTGAGACCCTATGTATTAATCACTCATATATTAATCACTATGTATTAATCACTTCAACTATTTTCAACCATATTTCCTCCAACACTCCAGCAATACCTCCACAGTCAAGGCCAGAAGTCAGTTCACATGGAAACAGTTCAGTATGTAGCATTTGAAAGACAGAATATGGTATGAAAAACATCATCCCACCTTACTCCACCTTACAAAACTGAAAATTCTAGTCTCCAATATACAAAGTGTTCTAATTCCCTCATTGTTTTAGTATTTTTAGCGTTGGTTTGGTTGAGTCAAGTTCCAAACAAGGTCCATATACTTTGATATCTTTTCCTACAGAGGCTCCACGTCTGAGACCAATGCTAAATACAAATCTCATTACAACCAAAAGCATTAAGATTTCCAATTTTAAGTTAAAATAAAAATTTAATAAAAGCCCATTTGCTTGATCCTGTATTAGGAAAAAGACAGCATATACTAAAGTAGTAAACGGCTATCAATTTTAACTGTCTTTTAAATTCACAACACTGGTAATATGTAAGGTGTGACAGACACCACAGGATATGCTATTATATAATCCAAAAGTTCAGCCCATCAAAAGGCATCCGATAAGTTACACCCCTGGAGGAGTTATGTATTTCCATTCTTTTAAACTCCCGGTTAATAATTGTTCTATTTCTCAAGGAAGATAATGAAGTTAGAAAACTAGAATTTCCACTCTGTCTTTGAAGAAAAGTAGAATACATTAGCAGAACTAATAAATGCTTTAGATTTTTGTTTAGGCAAAGATCAATTTGTCATGAAAGTCTTATCTTCCTTCCTGCTCTGATAATCTGAGCTGCATGTATAAGCTTGACATCCTAGGATCAGAAACCAAGTGAAAAGTATGCTGGGTATGTGGCTCAGTTAGGCTCACTTGCTGTCAAGGCCCTGGGCTTGATAACTCATTTTTGCATTCTCACCTTTTCCAATACCACAGTAAGGCCATAAAATTCCTTCCTACAAGGAAGGAATCAGGCTCAGTCAACACTTGCACTTGCTCACACTTAGTAGAACCATTTAAGAATGAGTATAATGCCATAAAAACAACTTTATGTGGTAAGTGTTACTTGAGATAGCTGAGATAAAGTATTCATTTATTGGTTTGTCTACACAATGAATATTTAATGAGTGCCAGCACTGTGCTAAGTGCTAGAAATTCAGTCATACAAAAATAAATAAGTAAAACATATGGCCCCTGGCCTCGTGTAGCCTACATAGACCCTTTTGTCTAGTTGAGATCAGATGCACATCAAAAGGATCAGGAAAAATATGAAACTGCAGCTGTGGTAAGGGATAGAAAGGAGAGATACACAATGTTTTGAGAACTTATGACCTGTGAAGAACAGCATGGGCACTGAGACTTCTCTGTAAAAGGCACATGAAGGACTGCACAAAGCCCTTTTGATTAAAGTAACTACAGCACATCCAAGATAATGAAGGACACTGTGATTTGCACCCAGACAACTAACAGGAGGAACATGTCTGAAGCAGAAGAGGTGGCTCATAGTAAGTATTTTGGTTTATATACCATGGGCAAAACGAAACCACTAGAGTATTTTAAATAGGGTGAGGAAGGAAAACATGGTCATATTTGCATTTTGAAAGGATCATATTTGCTGTGGTGTACAGGAAAAAGGCAGAGCACCAGGATGAACACAGCAAGACTAGTTAATGGCCAAAACCAGTGGATAAAAGATGAAAAGAACCTTAGAGAAGTTGATGATGAGCATAAAGAGAAGTGAATAATGCTAAAAACAATGTATTAAACACCATGAGAGAAACACTGTGCTGTCCTTTACATGAATTTGTCATACTCAAATAATCCCATGAATACTATCACTATTCCCATTTTGCAAGAAAGTAAGGCTTAGACAGATGAAGTATCTTCCCAAATTATGCAGCCAGCTGAGCCAGGATTCCGTCCATGCAGTGTAAGTTCTGACACACTCTCTTAACCACTACATAGGAGTTAGTGACAGACTGGACATGGGGGAAGTGGAAAAAGAGGGTTATGAAGATAACACCTAGGCTTCTGGTTGTGAATGGCACAACCTTACACTGAGCTAGCAACACTGAATGAACACCAGATGAGGGGACACACTGGGGTGGCTTTGAGGCATCCAAGTGGTGAAAAGCTTACCAGGATGTTAACTAAAGACTGGAATATAAAATTTGGACTAGGTCTCAGAAGCAAGGTCTGAGATACAAATCCACAAGCCATCTGAACATAGGTGGTAACCGAAGCCATGAAAAAGAGAGAATACAGAATAGAAAAATGAAGGATTAGGATGGCGCATAGGACTCCTATGTGCACTGTCCAGGTAAAGGAGAATAGTATGCATGGGAAACTGATAGATCAGAAGTTGGAGGAAAACCAGGAGTTCTGTATCCCAGAGGCCAAGAAGGAAGCAGGAGGGAAGAGAATGCTTCAAAAAGGAAAAGAGTGTCAACACCCTGGAATGCAGCTGAAAGGTCAGAAATGATGAAAACTGAAAAGAGTTCGTTTGATTCTGTGACCATGACTAGATCTACTCGATGGAAGTGGGGTGCAGAGTGAGTGGGAGTTCAGGGACAAAGCAGTATTTTCTGTTGTCATTTCCAACGAAACCCGATCATATTTAAAAACCCATCGAGAAGAGTCCAGAAGATCCCTGATGGCAAATGATTTAATTCTCCACTTTATTTTTCAAGCTCGGGAGCCACTGTATAGAAGAGAAGCCATAGCCCGAGATCCAGCAAAGAGTAAGTCTTTGACAGTTACTTGAAGGCCAAACGCCAAAGCCTTGGGGTTAAAGGTTCCAACTGTACTAACTCAAAGAGTGCATGGGTAAGGAGAAATCTCTCCTGGGAAAGGTGGGGGAAGGGGAAGACAGAAGGAAGCTTAGGAGAGACCGAGAGAGAGAGCAATCAGAATTCGAGTCCTCTAGGCAGAACATCCTCGGGGCACGCCGGCCCCTCAAGCCAGGCCCTGGATGGCCGTCGCAGGGAAACCGGCGTTTGGGGGAGTCCCACTGCCCCCCTACTTTAGCTCAGAAGCTGGAGCCCTCCATCCAGAGGGGCTAGGGGAAGACGACCCCACCCCTACCCCACTCCACCCCACCCCACCCTAGCAGTGGCCGCACTGAGAGAGTGGACCCCGGGCGGGGATGGTGGATGCTGCCCTTAGACGCGTCGGAGGCCAACTTTCTAAGTAGAAACGGCCGCCGACGCACCCCGGATGCTGCCTGCCACTGTGGAAAACAGGAAAGCCCGGCTGGCTGGCCCAGCCCTCCGGCCCCCGCCCTCCCCTCGGCAACTCACCATTTTCCTTCCGGCCGTCAGCACCCGATGTCTCCTCTAGGGCTCCTTTAAGAATGGCACGGCAGCCGCCTCCCTTCCTGCCCGGGCGCCAGGCTTAATCGCCCCCTCCTACAACGCGGCCGCGCGGGCGGGCACGTGACCGCGTACGGCAGGCGGCGCGGGTCAAAATTAGCCGCACCGCGAACGCGCGCCCCTCCTCCCTGCGCGCTCTCGGGCGGATGCTCCACCTTGCTGCAGGTGAGCGACCATCCCGAGACGCGCCACTGCTCAGCAGCTTCAAACTTTCTCCAAGCTTTGAAAGCAGTTTGTCGTGGCAAAATTGAGTCCATGATTTTAGTGGTAAATGTGTGTGTTGATCAGAGTTTACCTTTCCAATTTAATCTCCCTCAGACCTAGGCATGCCTCCCTTCTTCCACTTTTCCAGAACTCCGCCTCTGATCCCCACCGCCTTCCAGGACTTGGTTAATACATTTCTTTTTCCAGTAGTGTTGATTAAGCATCAAATGATTAGTTCTCTCATGCATGGGCCACTGCCTAACTGCACTTTGAAAACAACTGCCATTTTCTACCCTAATTGTGATATTATTTACATGGCCTCTATTCGTCAGTTAAAAATCCATAGAACTCACACCAAACTTGGTGAATTTTACTGTATGTAAATTAAAAATTTCCAAAGTGTAAAAAAAAAAAACCAAAAACGTAGACTGGAGAGTAGAGGTAGAAGCAAAGAAATTATTTCGGAGCATATTGTGGCAATCAAAGGGAAGACTGGCTTGCACCAAGGTGGAAACAGGGATCTAGTGAGGAGTGCCCAGGGCCAATCACATTTTCTCTGCCAAGTTTTCTCAACCTCAGCAATATTGACATTTGAGGTCCCATAATTCTATGTGGTGAGTCGATGTGTTGTGCATTGTGCCCATGTTTGGCAACATTCCAGGTCTCTACTCACTAGAGACCAGTACAACTCCTCTCACCAGTTTCAACCAGTGAAAAATGACTCAGACATTGCCAAAGGTTAAAGTGGGGGGGAAGATCACCCCCAAATGTGAATCACTCTTTTAGATGAATGTCTTAAGCTTTGGGCCACAGATCAAGTGTTAGAGCACTTGCCTAGCAAGGGCTCATTAAGTTGGCTCAGACTTTAGATAGACTCCTACCATTTAGTGTATAGACAACAAAAGCCCAACATCTTTTTTATATCATTCAGTCACACTGCAGGAAATAAATGTTATTGGAAAAAGAAATGTATTGACCAAGTCCTGGAAGGTGGAAGATGGTGATCAGAAGTGGTACAAAGATCTTAATGTAAGACCTGAACCTTTGGAACTACTACAGGGAAAACACTTGAAGACGTAGGCAATAGCAATTACCTGCTAAATAGGACTCCAATTGTCATGGTATAAAAGCAAGAACTGACAAATGAGATTGTATCAAATTAAACAGCTTCTGCACATCAAAGGAAACAATTTCTAGAATCAAGAGACAATGCACAGAAGGGTAGAAAATCCTTGCAAGCTATTCATTGGACAAAACCTTAATATCCAGAATATATAAAGAACTCAAAAACTGGGAGAGGGTGGGGGCAGGGGGCAGAGTGGAGAAATGACCCAAACAATGTATGCACATGTGGATAAATGAATTTTAAAAATCAAAAGAACAAATAATCTAATTAATAAATGGGTAAAAGAACTGCCAGTTCTCAAAAGAAGTACAAATGGCTAATAAATACATGAAGAAATGTTTGACATCTTCAGTCATAAAGGAAATGTAAATCAAAATGACACAGATTCCATTTTACCCCAGTTAGAATGGCTGACATCAAGAAAACAAGTACAAATGCTGGTGAGGATGTAGGAAAAGGGAGCCCTTATATACTGTTGGTGGGAATATAAATTAGTCTAGCCACTATGAAATCAATATGAAAGTTCCTCAAGAAACTAACATTAGAGTTATTGGATGATCCTGTGATACCACTCATGGGCATATTTCCAAAGGAATGTAAATCAACACACAGGAGAGATACCTGTACACCCATGTTTACGGGAGCATTATGTATCATAGCCAAGCTGTGGAACCAGCCTATGATTGGATAGAGAAAACGTGGCACATATAGACAATGAAGTGTTATTCAGCCATGAAGAAGAATGAAATTATGACATTTGCACAAAAATTCATTGAACTGGAAATCATGTTACATGAGATAAGCTAAGCTAAGCTCAGAAAGACATCGCATGTTTTTATATGAGAAATATAGACCTAATAATTACATGACATAATTGTAAAACAGGGACTGTTTGTTAGAGGACAACCAGTGGGTGGGGAGGGGGGAAAGAAGAGGGTGCATGAATATTACAGAAGTTCTGCATATAAATCCATACATATGTCTATACATGAAAATAGCATGATGAAACCACCCAAAGCTGTTAAAAAGAAGGGGGAGGACAGAAGGAGGGTTAAGAAAGTAATATAGATGGGGTGAATTTCTGAAGTCTCGTTGCAAATATCATAATGAACCCTCTTTGTATCATTTATGCTAATAAATTAAATTAGAAAAACATTTCATAATCCAGACACTTTTAACAGTAAAAGTGGAAGAGAGGTTTTGAATTTGATGATATACCTGCTTTGATATGGTCCTGGTGCAATGATGTTCAGCTACAGAGATGACCTAATGCACTGTCCTCGAATCTAAGATAACTGCTAATTCCCAATAGCTGACATGTGACCTGTAGGAGAATCTACATATTCATTCATTCCCCCAGTAAATAAAATTGGAGATGGTGAAAAATCTTGTGAGCCAGCAGATCTAAGAAGCCATATTTGTGAGTTTCAGAACCACAGGTAAGTGGCTGAAGTCCTGGACCTCAGCAGTTGGTGCTGACCTACTGTCGGAGAAGGCCTAGCTAAATCTTCATCTTAGTGAGGACCTGGGATTGTCCTGGAGGGTTGAAGTCTGATTTCACCTTCCCCCCACTATAAGATATCATGAACATTTTGTGCAATTAGCTATCATCTTAGATAGAAGCAAGAGAAGGGGGAGGAGAGACTAAAAATTTTCTTGAAAGAGACCAGATTTATAAAAGGGACAATTAAACTCAAAATACATTCTTTCATTAAAGAAAGATGTCTTCTACATTTATCTTTAATTGATAAATGTAAGCTCCTGCTGTCCTCTCTTTTCCCCCTTCTGTTCAATAGAGTGGGACTTCAAGAACAAAACTAGATCAGTTGTGGATAATAAAGCAGAGCCATTCTTCCTGCTAATCTGAGAGTCATATTTTTTTACCCTAATATAGATACTTAGTGCTGCCAAGTAATCTCATGGAGAAGAACTTCTTTTATTCATTTGTTACCTCCAATAATGTGACAACCAGACATAAGCTAGGTGCTTGTGGCACAAATACCAATTAGGTGTCCTTCCTTTGCTACCTAAGCAGGTTGGGTAGACTAGTGAGCAGGTGCTCACAGTAGGGACAGAAGGACTCCCATACAAAAACATACTAGGTACTTTGAAAGATGCAACTCCCTAAAGGTTAGGAAGCATCTAGGAAGGCTTTCCTAAATGCTCTTCCTCCTCTCCTGTCCCTTTAAATGGTAAGCCTCTCTCCATCAAATCTCATGTCAGTTACCTGTTCTATATTCCTCCATTTCCTTATTATAAGCTCTCGGAGTTCTATGTACTTTTTTTTTTTTTTTTGGTGATACTGGGGTTTGAACCCATCCTCACTTAAGCTATGCCCCCAGCCCTTTTTTGCTTTAGTTATTTTTTTGTATAAGGTCTCGATTTTTGCCTTCGTGGACCGTAAGTGGCAATCCTCTCACCTACAAATCGCTTGTGGTAGACACTCCTAGTCGTGTTTTTATTGTGCCTATTTGTAAGTCTTCTAGATTAAACAAGAACAGGTGTGAAGTTATTTCACTTTGTGGACCCAAGATGCGGGCTCTCCTCTATGCAAATTAGCTTAGGGTCTAATACGCAGGGTTTCAGGATTGAGAAACGGTGCACGTGGATTTCGGAAAATACCTTTCTTGGGCATCTGAAAATCTGCATTCGCATAAATTCAATCAGCGTTCGCACCAATTTCTATTCACAATTTGCCGGCAGAACAGCGATGACCATTGGTCCACACTGGCGTAGATGGGTCTGGTAGGCCACCAATCCAGTAAGTCGGGGGCGGTGCGAGGCCATCTACGCAGCCAATAGCTCGGGGTGGGAACAGGAGAGGCGTGGCTCGCCCTGCTGGCGACGTCGTGATTGGCCCGCCGGCTCCCACAGCCGGTGAGCCTGCAGGGACTTTAAGCTGCCGGAAACCTAGGCGAATACGGACCTACAAAGTTTGTCTGCTCCGGGGCACCGTAGTGGCTTTTCCCTGGGCCGGGGGGCTGGGCTCGGTGGGGCTGGGCTGGGCAGGGCTGCTGGAGCCAGGCTCAGCCCGGGAGACCCTGATGGCTGCGGTGTTTCTGGTAACGCTCTATGAATACTCGCCGCTTTTCTACATCGCGGTGGTCTTTACCTGTTTCATCGTGACCACCGGCCTGGTACTAGGATGGTAAGTGTCCCAGGGCTGGGAGCAAGGGACAAACAGCTGGGAGAGGGGTCGTGGCGAACTGCAGTGGCGCCGGAGACCCGTCCGGGAGTCGGTGCCCAGGACCCCGACCGGACACAAGAGGGACCCGCACCTGCGTCACTGTCCCGCATCGCCGTCGCGGAGGGCTCCTGGAAGTGGCACCGGGTGGGGGTATTTTATCTCGCTTTGTTTCTAGGGGGCAGAGCGGCCAGGAAGCACCTGGTCACTTGGTGTTGGGATGAAGGGCTTCTCTGCTAGGCTTTGTCCCCGATTGGGGCCTACTGTGTGCCCAGGGCCAATGAATCAGTCACCTGCCCTTTCCTGCACATGGACAGTAAACGAGGTGATCTGAGTGGAACACCTGACCTCAGAGCTTTCAGCGGAACTTGCAACTGAATTCTGTTATCATTTGAGAATTTGATGGTTTCTAATTCATGCCACACCTTTTGAAATGATAGTCGGTAGAATTGTAACTATCAAAATTTTAGAGCCGAAAGTTTAGAAGTAAGTTGCACCAGGGGATGGAGGCAAGTTACCTATGGAGACAAGGAAGATAGACTATTAGAGATCTGTTGAGTAGCTCCTGGGCAGGTCTTCCCACCTAGAGATTCTAGTTTCTCTTTTGAAGAGATGCCACGGTATCGGGTTTAGGAAACCTTGTAAATACAGCTAGTTGAAATCATTTTACTAGTCCACAATTGTTTTTTTAGGCTGCAGCCTTCATCCACCCTTTGAAAAGATGGTGGTTGGAAACAGGTTGAATAGTGGTTCTCAATGGGTACCAGCCATGACCTGAAGAGGTCCCAGAGGACCCCAGTAAGACAGAAACATGAGCCGGATTTTGGAGAATGAGTATTTTGAAAAACAGTTCAATGCATATAGTAGAAAAGAGAAGGCAATTCAGAGAACACACCATGAACAAAGGGCAAAGGAGGACGTGTGAGTGACTGAAGCAGGCTTTGTGAAACAAGCTATCGTTACTTTCAAGGGGTACAGGGCCTATAAGTTTCTGAAAATATGTGCTATTGTTAAGAACTAAGGAGAATGTTAACATTTCCACATGCTTCCCCACCCAGCAAGTGTTAGAGCATAAGATTCCTTGTATGTGGGTGGGGAAAGATGAAGACCAAGCTTACATAATTTGTTGCTCTTTTTTAAAAAATAGGGGTCTCTATGCAGCCCAGGATGGTCTTAAACTAGTAATCTTCCTGTCTCCACCTCCGCCTACACCGCCTGGGTGTTGCTGACATTACAGATGTGTGCCACCACACATGGCTCACAGTTTATTATTCTTGACCTGTCAGATTTTAATTGCTGTTATTCATCTCAAGAAAGCTTATAATTGGAATCAAGAAGATGTCCAAGTGTGAAAAGCAGTCTTAACAAAAGATTTTAATGACTATAATGTTGGTGTTATTTTTCTTGATAATTCTTAAATATCAGAACCTACTTCATAATTAAATCATATGCTTACATTTTTATTTTATTTTATTATTTTTTTACCAGAAAAATTCTGTTATTATACAACACTAACAGATTTTTTTAAATTGTTTTTACATTTACTCACACGTGTATACATTGTTTGGGCCATCCCTCCCCTCTGACTCCCCCCCCTAAATTTTTATTTTAAATAGGTCAACTAATTAGTTACTTCAGACGTTTGCCTTTTGCATTGGGAAAATGTGTGAAATCCACATTGAAAATGATGCTGGCATCTGTGACTAAAGAGTCATCAGGAGCCTCATGTTTGTATTGGTTAAGAGACAGACTTTGGAGTCAGACGTAGGTTCAAACCCTGGCTCTGACAGGTTTAAAGCTTGGTATGAATATGTAAAGATTATTCAATCACCCTATGTAGATAAGACTTTTACAAGAGTGGAAGTCCAGGTAATTGTAGAACTTGTAGAAATTTTGGCTAAGCATTACTTAGGCCACAAGACCACATGAATGCCAGTCACTTCCATCCTGCTTTGGACCTAAGCAGTCATCTGTGCCTAACTCACCATTGTTTCCATCTGGCTTAACTTTGCCTATGTAAATAAAGCTTTTACTATGTTATTTGCAAACCTAAGCCAAGGCCACAGTTTTATTGACTGGAAATGATGAAAACTTAGACATTATTTTGATCTCACAAAAATATCTTTCTAGTAATATCCCAGCCAGAAGGGTAAACGATTTAACCCACCATACTTTTCATACTTTTGTCATTTTTTTAAACCTCCCCCAATTTAGTCCCTATTGGTCATCTGTTTTCTCTGTCAGAGTTCTTACCCCTCTACTGCTGAGTTTCTTTTCCATTGCTTCTTTCCACCACTCTGTGACCAGCTGCACTAATGGAGGTGAAGAAAGATCAGGAGTGTCTGATTATTGGATTCCAATATCAGTAGCAAAGAACTGTGCAACTGGAAGTGTGATATTTCTATTAACCTACATGGTGGTTTCTATGAGCTCTAATATCTCTTGCCAGGCACTGTGCAGAAAAGAGTCCAAATGTTTACACATCTTTTAACAGTTTCATATGATCAAGGACCCTGACTCAGCAGCTACTATTTATGAAGCTGTTAACAACTTCATACCACTCTTATATATGCTGTCTATGAATCTGGAGCAGAAGTCTAAACCACATTTCTGCTTTTTGCTAGTTGGCTGCCTATCCAGCTTCATCAAGAAGAGAGACAGACTGAAAAAGTCTGGAAGAGGATCAAGAGGCTTGTCACTTTCTGCTTGATCCTTTTCTTATCTGTCTTCCCATAGTAACAGTACCTCGTTCTAGCAGTGGTCTTAGTAGTTCCAGCTTCTGATTTTCTACCTTCCTAGAACCAGTTCCATTATACTCCCTTAAAGATACCAGTATCTTTTCCTCAGATCTGAGTCCCAGCTCATGGGTTCCCTACTTCAAATTTCTAGACTGTAGTAATTCTCTTTCCTCTATCCTTTTGTTCTCACTGGTGCTGGGGATCAAACCCAAGGCTTTGCACAGTCTAGGCAAACACTCTACCACTGACTTCCATCCCCAACCCTGGTTAACATTTTTTTAAATATTAAATTCTTTCTATTAAAATAATTTGTGTGGTTTTTGGTCTTTGACTGTAGCCTGACTGATAAAAAAAGTGTTACTAAAAATGGAATCCTGGGAGAAAAAAACCCTCAAAGATAGGATTTGGGGGTTGGGTTAGTTATTCCTCAACTCCTTGCTAATGAAAAATAATCTCATAATCCATAGCATGTAGTTGCATCTTAATTACTTAAATTACTACCTTTGGTTGATTGTGATTGTGATAAAATGACTTCTGAAACAGGTGCCTTGGGGGACCAAGTTTTAAAGCACTTGACTGTTAGGCAGTAATGGTGACTACAGGGAATGAGGAAAAGGTACAATAGTTGCTTCTGGGCTCACTGGTCCATTTACAGAAAGAAGAAGACAAGCTCAAATCTTTAAACTCTCAAATCAGTTTCTATGGTTCTAAAGCACTTTATGTTGTATAGTCACGAGTCCGCCTTTCTTTTATTTTTTTTTCTTTTATTATTCATATGTGCATACAAGGCTTGGGTCATTTCTTCCCCCTGCCCCCACCCCTTCCTTATCACCCACTCCGCCCCCTACGAGTCCGCCTTTCTAAAAACTAAATCTAGTTTTAATTGTGTGGTAGTAGAATTGCACAGTCTTTTCAGTGTCTCACTTTGGACATCCATTGGAGAGAAGTAGCACTCTGAGACTTGGAATGGGGGCATCTAAATAAACATGGCCAGAGCTGAGACTTTTTAAAGCCCTATGGGACAAAAGTCTGACCTATTTGGAGATAGCATAACCTCTGAAAGAATTGCAAAATTTTTTTAATTTGTATCTATAGAAACCTGAAGCATATGTATGAGAATAAATTGTTAGTATGTTAGTTAGTCCAGGGAGGGCAGAATGTAAGACTAGATGAGATCAAATTTATTGATTTGGATATATTCTCAAATGTTAATTAACACTTGTTTGGTTGAAACTCAATTCAGTGGTGGTCTATATTTAATAAGGTTTAGATGTTTACTGCTTTTTTCCCCCTTTTTTCTTTTGTTGTCTGGAATAAAAAATGATTTAGGGCTTTAAAATTTTCCTAAATGTACTGATTTGTCAACATTCCATAATGTTGATCCATATGTTTTCATTTTTATACACTTCAGAATTTAAAATTTTTTCTTTTCTGATTTTCCTTGATCTCTGTGTTATTATTTAGTCCAAATATTTGGGAACTTTAAAGATATCTTTCTGTTGTTGATTTATAATTTGATTCCATGTGGTCAGAGAAATACTTTTTATGGTTTGATTCTTGGAAATTTATTGAGACATTTTATAGTCCAGAAATGGTCTTTCTTTAGTAAATGTCCTAGTGTATTTAAAAGGGGTGTATATTCTGCTATTGCTGAGTGAGATGTTCTGTATCTGTCCTAGGTCAAATTGGCCTCTAGTGTTACTCAAGTGTTTGCTGTTTTGACTGATTTCCTACCTATTTGTGCTACCAATTATTGAGTTGGTAGAGAGTATTGAAATCTCTGATAGATTTTTCCATTTCTTTTTGCAGTTGTACCAATTTTTGCTTCATATTTTGAAGTTCTATTACTAGATGAATAAACATTTAGGATTATTACGTCTACTTGATGAGTTAACGCCCATATGATTATGAAATGGCCCTCTTTACTTCTGGTAATAGTCTTTGCTCTGATATCTGTTTTGTCTGCTATTAATATAGCCACTCCTTCCTTCCTTCCGTCCTTCCTTTCTTCCTTCCTTCCCTCCTTCTTCTCCCTCCCCTCCTTGTCCCCCTCCCTCCCCTGCTCCTACCCTTCACCCTTGCACCAAATGCTCTGCCACTGACCTGTATCTTTAGTCCTTCCAGCTTTCTTTTGATTAGTGTTAGCATGTATATCTTTTTCCATCTTTTATTTATAATCTGTTTTCATTTTTATCTTTAAAATGGGTTTCTGATATGCAACATACAGATAGATCTTATGTTTTTAATCCAATCTGATAATCTTCTTTTTTTTTTTTGGTGGGTGCTGGGGTTTGAACTCAGGGCCTTGACCTGTTAGGTGCTCTGTCACTTGAGACATGCCACCAGCCTCACTCTGTCTTTTAACTGGAGAGTTTAAATAATTTGCATCTGATGTGATTATTGATATGGTCAGATTTAAATCCACCATCTTACTATTTGTTTTCTATTTGCCCTGTCTGTATTGTGTTCCTTTCCTCCTTTTGTTTATTCATTTGCATTAGTTAGGTAATTTAGGTTGGTTTATTAGCAATGACTTTTTCAAGTGGTTGCTTCAGGGTCTGTATATATCTCTTAACTTTCAAGAAATAATTTAAAGAGATTTAAATATGAGGAAAAACAGTATCTCCAGAGTTATTGTTTTCTGTGCTAGTCATTTCTTTGTATCAATCCAAATTGCTATTTTGTATCAATTACTCTTTCCAAAAGACTTCCTTTAATATTTTTTGTTATGAAGTCTGTCAATGATGATTCCTTTTTGCTTTTGTTACATTTGAAAAAGTATTTTGCTTTTGAAAAATATAAGTATAGAATCAGCAATACTTTTCTCTTTCTTACATTGTTCTTTTCTTTTTATTTTTTTTCTCATTTTTACATTTTTAAAGTTATTCTGATAAGAAAGCTGTTGCCATTCTCACCTTTGGTCCTTTGTATGTAATGTATCTGTTTCCCTGAGTTTCTGTTAAGATATTCTCCTTATAAGTGGTTTTAAGCTATTTGATTATTACTTGCCTTCATATATCTTTTTTGCTTGTGCTTGAAGTTCTCTGGTTTTTTGGATCTCTGGGTTTATAGTTTTCAGCAGATTTGTCTATTACGTATTCCAATTCTTTACCTGTTCTCTGACCCTCTGCAGACTTCATTCACATGCATGTTAGACTATGTTGAAGTCCCTTGGGCCACTGAGGTTTTGTGGTTTTTTGTTCGGTCTTTTTTTCCTCTCTGTGTTTTACTTTGGATACTTTTTATTATGCTGTCCTCAAATTATCTTTTGTTCTACACTGTCTAATCTGCTGTTAATTCTACCCAGGATATTTTTCATCTCAGACATTGTATGTGTCATTTCTAAATATTGGGACCTTTTTTTTTTTTTTTTGTGCTTGTACGGGGGTTGAACCTCAAGGTTTCTCACTTGCTAAGCAGGTGCTCTACTACTTGAGCCACTTCGCCTTCACCAGCCCTGTTCTGTGTTGGGTACTTTGGAGATATGGTCTCACAAACTATTTGCCTAGCTGACTTCGAACCTCAGTTCTCCCCATCTCTGCCTCCCAAGTAGCTATGATTATAGGCATGAGCCACTGGTGCCTGGCTATTTGGACCTATTTAATATCTTCCTTGTTTCTATGTAATATGTTCAATCTTTACTTACCTTCTTTAACATATGAAATATAATTTTAATGACTACTTAGATGTCCTTGTCTACTAATTGTAGAATCTTTACCATTTGTGGCACATACATTACATATAACATAAAGTTTAAAATTTGTTAAAATTATATTTTATTTTCAGGTTCGGTTGGGATGTTCCAGTAATTCTGAGAAATTCAGAAGAGACCCAGTTCAGCACAAGAGTTTTCAAAAAACATATGAGACAAGTCAAGAATCCTTTTGGCTTGGAGATCACTAACCCGTCCACAGCTTCAATTACAAGTTGGTGGCTATTTTCCAAAGGTTTTCTCTCATTGTATACCACAGCTCCCCATCCCCCCTTCTCTATTGCCTTTTCTTCGTTAAACCTTTACCAAACATTTGTTAAACACCTGTTGTATTCCAGGGACTAGACTGAATACTACAGATACAAAGATTAGAAATTTATGAATTTTTTTCCCATGAAGCTTATCAAGTAGTAAACAGGCAAATATGTAGGCAAAGGAGGAGAATGAAGTATTACAGGTGCTCATGAGAGAAGTCTGTGAGGAGCCTGTGCCATTTTCATTGGTCTCGAAGTGAGAAATGCAGTAAGTCTAAGTACAGTTAATGTAAGGTTGCTAACCTTCTGAAGAACTGTTTTTTTAATCTGCAGTTATAGTACTTTGGTATACATTATTTTCCTATACAATGTTATCTTTATAGATGGTAATAATAGCTAGCAGTTGTTTGTTTCTGTACTTAGAAAACTAAATTATTGATAGTACCATTTAGAACCACTGGAGTGAATTATAAAGAAAGAAATGGTTAAATCGGCTTCACTGAATTCTGAGACATATTTAGGAAAGGCTTCATAGACAAGAGTATGATGAATCTCTCATCTCTCATTTTTGCTCTTTCCCACCCCTTTTGGATTAGTCTTGATTGGAAGATAAGTAGGTATTTACCTGGGATTTGAGGAGACTTCTAGGTAGAGGAGGAAACATGAACAAAGTACCCAGGTAGGTGAGAAACAAAATGATACATTAGATAAATAAGAAGGCATTTGTTATTGCTAAAATAGGGGGGAAAGGTAAGAGAGGGGTTTAGAAAAACTGAAGTTCTTTGTATGAGTCTCCACAGACAGCTCATACTACAGAGATAGGGAATATAGGAGAAACAGTAGGTTTGGGAAAAAAGGTATTGAATTTAATTTTGAGCTTTTGGACTTTGAAATGCTTTCGGGATGATTCAGCAGAGATACAGAGTAGATAGGTCTAGATATAGTTCTATAGGTCTCCAGAGATCGCTGGGCTGAGATGCGTACCTTTTACACCTGCTAACCTTGCAAGTATCTTAAAAACAAACAAGTCTAATCTTTCTCAGCTTTTTCCCTTTGATTCTGGTTATTGCCCCATTTTTGTTCTCAGAGTTGGCCAGTCTTTGATATCATGCCCCTATGACTTCTGTGGACTGTTCTTGTCTAATCATTCCTGCCTCTATCTTTCAGAATCTCATCACCTATCAAAAACCAGCTTACTTAGTCAATATGGATCATCATCCTTAAGTAAATCTTGATTTGTAAGGAAAAAGCACAAAATTTTTGATTCTTCCTCCTTAAATGCAGATAATGTTACCCTGTGGGTTGAAGGAAACTAAGGTTTTTTTTCCCTGTAAAGTAGATAAAAGTTCATTCTGACATTTTTCACTTCTGAAAACCAAATTTTAAGACGTGAGAGAAAAAACCAATTTGTGTAGAAGACAGTAGGTTGTGCAGTCCTATAAACTATTATAATAGTGGTGGTTCATTGACCTCCAACCTCTGTGACTTTGACATGAAACTTGCTGCAATGTCACATCTGGCTCTTGGGCAAGGACTGCCAGTCAAAACAATATGCCAATATAAGGCCATCCTCCAGCAACACAGTCCACAAGCCTGTTAAATACACTGAAGAAATAGAAGAGCTAATATATTATGAGCAAAACTGTGTCTTCACTTGCAAGCTAGAAAGTATGAGGAAATCCATCAATCTGTCTTTCAGGCAGAAGTAGTCACAAATTGAGCCAGCTCTGCAGATTTGAAGCAAATGAAAAGATAGCCAGTAAGTAAACCTTTCGGCTGTGCCCACACATGAGGCACTAACCAATAAAAGTATTATTCAAATACTTGAAAAGTTTTTGCAGTGGAATTAGTGAAAAAATTAATTTTTAAGGTACCGATGTATATCATTTATTATCTACTGTAAGGGAAATAAGGAGAAAGATCTGGGTGTAAGAATAAAATTCATTTGTTTAATCTATGGAAAGTTGGGTGTCCTTAAGGATGTCTACACAGGATTGTGAAATAATCTTATGATAATACTTGTGACATTTTAAAAAGTTATTTCATTAGATGTATAGATACTTTAAAAATTAATGCAGGATTCTTTCTTCATCATTGAAAAGTGCTTAACATATTGCAAGGGAGTGAGGGGAATATCTAGAGATCTAATTTAACTTGAAAACAAACTAGAGAATTGCTTTTAATCTGTTTACTAGGGGCGGTTGTTGAGATTTTTTTTGTTGTTATGTAATGATGTTGTATTTGGGCTGGTTTCCATGTCCTCAATACAAAGGCTTTAATGAAATTGTAATTAGGTACTCAATAAGTATTAGTTGAGTTGAATTAATTTGGTTCAGGAATTCTGTTGTCAGTTTGTAAGCAACTTCCTCGTATTTTTAGCTTACTTATCCTGGTAAGAGATTAACATAAAGCAAGAGAGTTAGGCAAAATAACAGAGAGTAGTTTTGCACAGGAGTATTTGAACTATCATCAGATAGTATAAATCAGTGCATTCTCTTCTCATTCAATGGAATGGTCAAGTTATGAAGGACTATAGATTCTATAGTTCTTTTCCATTACCTTTTAATATTAGTTTCAGAGACATTAAAGTCTGATTATTATCTAATTGTCAGTGGTCTGACACTGCTCCCCTTTCGGTCAAGTATATGAAGTCTATAAACAAGTGTTTTATGCAATTCTGAGTCGCTAGACTCTTTCCTGGAGTGCTGATTCATTTTATAAAGCAAATAAAGTTGGCAGTTTTATATGTCCTATAGGTTGAATTTTTCAAAGGCTTTTACTTCCATTCTTTTTAAATGTAAACAAACACATATATAGATAGCCTCTCTTATAAGGTGAACAGTAATATATATGTACTTTTTTCCACCTTGCTTTTGTCATTTAACAATATAGTCTGAAGATTATTTCATAATAGTACATATAGCTATTTTAATATGCTTCAACTTATTTATTTATTTATTTTTTGCAGTACTGAGATTAAAACCCATGCCCTTGTACATGCTAGGCAAGTGCTCAACCCCTGAACTACATCCCTAGCTCCTCAATTCATTTTTAATAGCTACATAGTACTTCCTTGTAGAGTACGATATTTTACTCATTCAGTCCCCATTGGTGGACATTTGGGTTCATTCCAGCATTTTGCTATTGTTCCTAGAGCTATAATAATATATCTTCCATATTTTTGGCAGTAATACAGTAATACTAAGCAATTACTTTCTGGGTTTCTTTTTCTTTTTTCTTTTTTTTAAATATTCTCAAGTCATTTTATTTTTATTTTTTTTACCAAATAAAAATTTAATACTAATTACATACATACACATATAAACAAAAACAAAAATTCCATAGAGGCAATATTTTTATGATAATCTACCTTACTCTATTCCATTAAAGGTAACAGTAGAAATTCTGGGTTTCTTTTTCTACCTTTTTTTATATTCTTTTTTTCTATTTTTCTTTTTCCTGTTTATGTGCAGTGGTTTTCTCCTGTCTTATGTTGTTTGGTTCCAAAGTGACATAGAGAAAATTATGTGTGATTTTATGTGTGATTATAAATTTCTGTACATGGATTTTTTTTCAGCTATTAAATACCTAATGGTATTTTCCATTCTTGTATTAATACTTGATGATTATCAATTTCTACTCCCAATTATCTATGCAAAATACCTACCAGTTAAAATTTTTGCCTAACTAATTAGAAATGGCCCTGTGTAACTATTATGCATACTTAGAGTCTCAGACTCTGTATATACTACTGATACTGAGGAGAAAAGTGAAAAACTCAATTTTTGATAACCTATGAAGCATTTGCCTGTGTTTGTGTATCTCCTCCAAACATATACCTTTGATATTATTTATTTATTTATTTATTTTCACATTACTGGGGTTTGAACTCAGAGGCTACACCTTAAATCACTCCACCAGCCCTTTTTTGTGATGGGTTTTTTCAAGATAGGGTGTCACTACCTCTTTGGCCCAGCTGGCTTTGAACTGCGATCCTCCTGATCTCTGCCTCATGACTAGGTAGGATTACAGGTGCGAGCCACTAGTGCCCAGCCTTGATCACATTTTTAAAAATAAACAATGTATCAATCAGAATTCATATTAGCAAGCAACAGAATGAACACCAATAAAAAAAATACTGAGTAGCTTGCAGAATTGTTGGTAGGTTTAGAAAGCCAGAATCAGAAACCAAGCTGCCTCGCCAGGAACAATGATCCAAACAGTGCCCTTTTGGTTTAGTCAAGTTCACCAATGCTATTGAGCACTAAAGGTTAGGTTGCAGGTTGCACTGCCAATAGTTTGAGTCACTGGATGTTTCTACCTTTGAACTTGGTAATGCTACATCTACCACTACTGAGGAGAAAACAATTACATTGGTGGCACATCGTAAGTCTTATGTATGTACAAAATAAGTAAAACTATATAAAGTAATTTGTATGTGCACTTATAATTTATATATCCACTAGTAAATTGTAATATCTTTCCTTCCATCTCAAGCAAGCAAAAGAACAAGGGTATTGCTATTAAATCTTCCATGCTTTAGAATCCCCACTCTTTCCTCAGGCCATTTTGCGAGTGACATGTGCTATTAACTGTGTGACAGACTATTAATGTTGTCAATGTGCATATTAATACTAGTAAAGCTCAATTTCTGTTTCATTTTTTCTTACTCCAGTGATCATCTTCTGAACTCAATGGGTCGTGTGTATCCAGTTTTTGGGGGTAGTTCAGCTCTGCTGTACTGTTCCTTGCTCCAAAGGAAAAAAAGTCTTGGAACCACCAAAAAAGAAAATTAAACTGATTAGTTTAAAGCTTAAATATACAAATAGTAAGAAAGAGTTTGCTCAAATAGTGTTCAAAACCTGCATAGATATTGAGATTTTTATATCTTTTGTTTCAGAGGCCAGTCCTTTCATTTGTAGGTACATATCCTATAGCAAGTCCCTTGAACTACCTGGCCAACACCCAAAGGAAGCTTGTGTTTCTCATTCTGTATAATTGTATCAGAAGTTACAGTAGGTCATTTCCATTCTCTTTCTGGTTTGTTTTCTGCAGCTGGCATAACCTTGACAACAGATTGCCTTGAAGATAGCCGTCTTACATGCTACTGGGGGTGCAGTGTCCAAAAATTATATGAAGCTCTGCAGAAACATGTTTATTGCTTCAGAATAAGCACTCCCCAAGCTTTAGAAGATGCTCTGTATAGCGAATATCTCTACCAAGAACAGTATTTGTATCCTTTTATCTGATAATCCCTGTCAGCACATGAAAATTAGACTTTTAATGGATACAATAATATATTGTTAAGTTATTGATTGGTTTTGGTATATTTTTGTTCTTTTGGCTATAGTGGCAATTTGCCTTTACATTTTCAAAAAGTATTAAAAAGGACAGCAAAGAAGAAATATATTGCCAGTTACCAAGAGATACTAAAATTGAAGACTTTGGCACAGTGCCTAGATCTCGTTATCCATTGGTAGCACTGTTGACCTTAGCTGATGAGGATGACCGAGAAATTTATGATATCGTAAGTAATTTGAAAATTCTGAAAGCATTGCCTTTAAGTGATTTGGATGGTGGTTCTTAATTATTTGGCGAAGTAAAAAAATTATTTTAATTTCTTTTTAAATACTAACTTCTAAGGATATGATTTGGCCTGGACACATTTGCCTTGAAAGATGAAAATGCAGGGGGTATCCCTGTATAATTTGTATATGTGTAATAGACCCTTCAGAGTATGACTGTTTTGCCCTCAGGTCACAAGAATGTAACTTTATTTACAAAATAAAAGATATATTATTATTGACTTAAATTTAATTTCACTATTGATGACTTAAAGTTAATTTCACCATTCTATAATGGTTGCATATAGAAAAGTCTGTCAACATTATTCTTAACGTTTAAGTACTGAATAAGCCAACATAATAATGACTTAATGGACTCAATTTTAAGGCCTTATCTACTCTTTTCTTTGCATAGTTGCAGTCACCATGTTTTCATGAAAGCCCCTGCTATTTTCAGTAATTATACTAACTTTGTTTTCTCATTATGTTCTAATTATTTCTGTAGTCTAGTAGTTCATCCTTATTAGGAAGATAAAAGCATCAGAGATTGAAGAGGACCTGAATCTTGGCAATCCTCTAAGTGTGGCAGAAATTTATATAGGCTGAGCATCTCCAATCTGAAAATCTAAAATTTATTGAGTACTGACATGCCACCATAAGTGTAAAATTCCAACCGTACCTCATTGATCAGTCATAGCCAAATGTGTGCATACTAAAAATATTGTGTAAAATTGTCTTCTAACAATATATTAAATGTGAATGAATTTCATGATTAGACTTGTGTCCCATCCTTAGGATATCTAACTATGTATATGCAAATATTCCCAAATCTGAAACTCTTCTGGTTGCAAGCATCTCAGATAAGGGATGCTCAACCAGTATATGAAATAAACTTGTGGTGAAATCATATCATGGCAGTAATGCCCTTGTACATAATTTACTAATTTTCTGAAGCACTCACTAGAGAGAGATGTTCGTTAGTAGAGATACAGATTTAAAGTCAGGGACTCATGCTTGTTAGCACTCTATCACTTAAACCACACCCTCAGTTCTGTTTTGCTTTAGTTATTTTTCAGGTAGGGTCTTGTGCTTTTGCTCAGGGCTAGCCTCAGACCATGATCCTCCTAACTCTGTGATACTTTTATAATATACAAAATAGTCCACTAACAGTGGCTTACTTTTTCCTTCTTGTATTAGGGCAAATGCCCTTGCAGACTGAAACAGATACAAGAAAAATCCCCATCACCTCCCACCCCTTTTTGTGGTCCTGGGGTTCAAATCCAGGGCCTCATACATGCCAGGAAAATGCTCTTCCACTGAGCCATGTTCCAGTTCCTGCTGTTTCTTTTTTAAAATCATTTTTTTATTTTTGCAGTACTAGAGTTTGAACTCAGGGCTTCATGTTTTCTAGGCAGATACTTTACCACTTTAGCCACTCTGCCAGCCCCTTGCTCTTTCTTTAAAAACAGAATTTCTTACTGAAACAAATGTACATTGTGCTTTGGATGTGTGCAGGCTCTTATTGGAAACTGTAGCCCTGGTCATTTGCAGTTAAGCCTCTCAGCTTCCCCCCACCCCCCACCCCCAATTAAATGAGCAAGAAGGAGAAAATGGGGAAATGTAGGCCACTGGATACAAAATTCAGTTATGTAGAATGAACAAGTTTAGAGATCTAATGTTTAGTATGAAGAGTATAGTTAGTTACAATTGTATCTAGTATTTTTGATTAAAATATTAGATGCTCTTGTCACAGAAAAGGAGAAATAACTATGTGAAATGATGGATATGTTAATTTGCTTGACCACAATCGCCATTTCACTATCATGTTATATACTTTAATAAATACAATAAAGTCATACCAATAGTAATATATTTCCAGAACCTAGTGCAATGCCTCCAACACAGAAAATACTCAAGGGTTTGTGGTAAGTGTGGAAAAAAATCCTACCAAGCAATGTCAGTGAACCTCAGAGAGCTTGTTGACAAAAGTTAGTTGCACACACTCCTCTCTTTCAATTGCAGATAAATAAGATCTGTCAAGTTGATGCCCCATGTTTCCAGCTTCTTTGCTCATTACCATACCTTCCTGGGCAAGATAGCCCTTTTCACATCTCCTAAGTTCCCTAGGTTCTGTTCTGTTTATTCCACATAGGAGGATCTGATCTCTGCCATCTTGCATTCTAGCTTCCCTTCGGATTCCCTTCCCCTCTGACCATGCTCTGTGTACTACAGATGCCGGGGGCTTCCTTTGTTTTATAACTTTCCTCCTCTACCTGAACAGGGAAGGATTTTTATGTGTGGTAAAATATAAATAACAGAAAATTTGCCATTTGAACTATTTCTAAGTACACACTTCAGTGGCATATGAAGAAGGATTTACTCTCAGATCCTTGATCTACTTGGAATGGAGCCCATGTGGCCCATCTGCTTGGAGCAGTTGTTCCCACAGGGGATCCTGAGCACCTGGCTCCCAAGAGTTAACCACCACTTTCTCTTGCTGTTAGTGTTTCTGCTTGTCTAAGTTCTTTTGTTTGTTTTTCATTCCTATCTCCCTCCCCCTTTTCCTGTTAATCTTTGCTTCTTTTTTTTCTCCCAGTTTGGGGATAGTGTTGGCAGTAAAGTATACTCATTAATAAATTTTATATCAATGTTTTTCTTCATAATTTTAATTACAAACTGAGTATTTCATATTTCTTTTTCATAGGTGGTTTTAAATTACTTTGGAGTCATGGACACTAAATAAAAACAAACTACTCCCACTCCCATTGTTTTTTTTTTGTTTTTTTCCAGATAACATTAGTTTATTTGGATGTTTCTGTTTGCAACTTATTTTTTTTATTTTATTATTCATATGTGCATACAAGGCTTGGGTCATTTCTCCCCCCAACCCCCACCCCCTCCCTTACCACCTCCCACTCCCATTGTAACAGGAAAGAACTACTTTACATAGTGCAGTTAGGAACTGGTTCATTGTTTTAAGCAGATGACGGCAAGCAAGAATTCTTATTATAAAGTTTTGACTTCAAGACTTTTTAATTTTTACTGAAGTGCATTAGGTTGTTTCCCCTGCATTATTCAAACAGCACAGTTTATGAGGGAGAAATGAGCGAACCTAGGTAAGCGGAAAGGTAAGATGAAAAGTGTAAGCCCTGTATTCTGTCATCCAAAGATAATTACTATGAACACATGCCTATATATTTCTAGACCTTTATTTGTGGACTTTTTAAAAGAAAGATGAAATCATACTTTGCTCTGTAACTCACTTTCATTTAATAGTATATTTGAACATCCTTTCCATATCCTATTCAACTACATGTACATAACCCACTCTCGTGGCTTGGCTCTCCCTTGACCTGTGAGGAGGACCTTCAGCTCTTCTGTGGGTATTTTCTACTCAGATTGATGTTTCTGCAGGGAACATTCCCTGAAGAATCCTGTTCTGCCTTCAGGCTCCACCCTGTTCTGTAGGCTCTGTAAGGCAATACAGAAATCCTGCTTTTTATAAAACATTCCCCTGGATGTAATTGCCATTGATGGTTCTGGCCAGATTTTTTTGTTGACTATGATGGTGGAAGATGATTATTTTCCAGCTCCAGACCTTCCTGTCAGGCTGTGGCATGCTACTACAAGCCAGAGACTTCCCTTCTCTTCATTGGTTTATTTGCTTATTTCTCTGCATGTTATCTCTGTGGCCTCATGAGTTGCCTTCTTTCTCTCAGTGGTTTATAGCTCACTACTGAAGGTGATTACTTTAGTACTCAAAAGTACTGCCAAGACTGAGCATTTATAGAGAAACTGTGCTTGTAAGTTACTTGAATTCCCTCTCTCAAAAGTCAGAAAACTATACAAAGAGACACTGTCTTCTGTGTCCCTTCATTCCCATGCACCTTAATGCATGTAGATAACCAAATTCATTGTTTTCTATTTCTCTTCCCTGTGTTTCTTATTTTTTTTCTTCTTTCTTACACAAAGGTTGCATACTGTCTAGCTATGCATACTTATTCTTCTGTTCTCATTTCATTTCATAATATCCCCTAGAAATAGGTTCACAAAGATCTCACATTAAAATTTTTTGTATTCCAATAAACCTGTATTTATAAAAATGGGTCACATTTGGACTGTAGGCTACCTTTTTAAAAAACAGCTATATAGCACTTCATTGGGTTTGGACCATAATCCTGAAACAAATAATTCTGAAGTCCATAATCCTGAAAGTTAAAATCTTGAAAATTCAAAATCCCAAAATACAATTCTGGAAAAAAACAACTTTAAAAAATTCTTAGGGCTGGGCACATATAATCCCAGCTATGTGGGAAGCAGAGATCAGAGGATCACAGTTCAAAGCCAGCCCAGATGAAAAAGTTAAAGAGACCCTATCTCAAAAAACAACCTAGGTGTAATCTCAGCACTGCAGGAGGAGGAGGTAGGAGGGTTATAGTCAAAAACTCGAGATTCTATCTGAAAAATGTTAAAGTAAAAAGGATTGGGAACATGGTTCAAGTGGTAGAACTCATGCTATAAGTGCTAGATCCTCAGTTCAAACCCCAGTACTGCCAAAAAAAAAATTCTTCAAAAGACATTTATTTATATTTTAAAAAGAGGATTTATTTGAGAAACATAAAAACATGACAGAACACCTCATGGGTTGCTTTACACAATAAAAGACAATGATGTCATACATGTTATCATAAGCATAAATACTCATGTACCCTAACAATGCTCACACATCTATAACAGTTAGGAACAGATAAACCATAGTCAAAGAAATAGGTCAAAAAGCAAAATGATGTTTGTTTTGGTTTGGTTTTGAGGCAAGGTCTTGCTGCCTTAGTAGCCAGGCTGTCCTTGAACTCGAGATTTTCCTGCCTTAGTCTCCAAAGTGCTGTGTCTTTTGGGGTTGTAATCGGCACTGAACTTGACTGCACATACAATGTGCAGGTCCCATAGTCATGTGGCCGGTCTCCTGTGCTTGAAGGAGTTTCTGGTGTTCTGCTGTAGCAATCTTGTACCAAATAAGCTATGCATGTGTAGCTTGATGTTGCTGGGGTTGTTTGGTTGAAGTATAAATGCATATTATTTTGTTAGATGGTTCCAAACTCCCTTAATTGGCAGTTGTATCTCTTTTTTTTTTTTTTTTTACCAGTACTAGGAGCTTTACTCAGGCCTTGAATATGCTCCACCACGTGAGCCATGCCCCATCCCTTTCATTTTTGTTTTGTTTTTGAGATGGGGTGTTTACTTACTACCTTTTCTGGGGCTGCCCTTGACCTCCCAGTCCTCCTGCCTCCACATCTGGAGTAGCTGGGATTACGAGTATAAAACACCATACCCTTCTCTTTTTCTTTTTTTTTTAGAAACATTTCCACCAGCAATGAATGAGAATGACTGTTTCTCCATAGAGTATATAGACAAGCTTTTGAACTTATACCAATTTGATGTGTAGCCTTTTTTGCTTTATTTTTGAGGATAGGGTCTCCTGGTTCTGCCCAGGATGGCCTGGACCAGCACCCTCCTATTTATGCCTCCTGTGTAGCTAGAATGACAAGTAGGTGCCTCCGTGCCCATCTATTGGTTAAGATAGTGGTCTCACCAATTTTTTTGCCCAGGCTGACCTCAAACCTCAATCCTCCCTATCTCTGCTTCTGGAGTAACCACCATGCCTGCCTTTTCCTAGCTATTCTTATGTGTTCATTTCTCCATGTGAGAATTTTAGACTTTGTGTATGTAGCTCCATAAAAAAGCTCATTGGTATTTTTACAGGATCCCATTAAATTTATAGTTTAAGTGTAATTCAAATAACTGCCAAAAATATATCAGTAACTGATTCCTCTTCAGTGACTGATTAATACAAATTAATGTAAATTTTCTAATATTTCCACATATTTGTGAAATAATTAAAAAGGTTAAGCACTGACTAGTGTTTAATTTTTATTTTAGATTTCTATGGTGTCAGTAATTCATATTCCTGATAAGACATATAAACTTCCTTGCAGAATATTATATCAATATTTACTCCTGGCTCAAGGTCAATTTCATGATCTTAAGGTAAGTTGTACCCTTATAGTCTTACCTTTGTCTCTTGCGGGGGAGGGTTTGTTTATTTGTTTTGTTTTTTGGCAGTACTGGGGTATGAAATCAAGGCCTCCTGCAGGCTAGGCAGGCACTTTACTACTTGAGCCACACTCACCCAGCCCTTTTTTGTTTTAGCTGTTTTTCAGGTAGGGTCTCTATTTTTGCCCAGGCCAACCTTCCAGGACAATCATCCTCCCTTTGCCTCCCATGTAGCTAGGATTACAGAGATGCGCCACCAGCTTAATTGTTGAGGTGGTCTTGCTAACTTTTGGGGAGGGGGGTCTAGCTGGCCTCAAACTTTGATCCTCCAGATCTCTGCCTCCTGAGTACCTGGGATTATAGCATGCAACACCACACCTAGCCTCTTGGCTCTTGTTTATAGAGTTTCAGAGAATGGCTGTGTATAAACAGAATTATATTTTTCAGTTACTTATTACAGAAGGCAACTATTCTTTGCTATTGGATATGCTAGCTCATGAATTTTGAGTAGCTCTTGAGACTCCAGATTTAAAGAGTAATTGTCATTTTTAATTACCTTTATACTTGTTTCCTTCATTTTCAGCAACTTTTCATGTCTGCAAATAATAACTCCACTCCTTCCAGCAGTCCCTCTCCAGAAGAAAAAAATGCAGACCGAAGTCTGTTGGAAAAGGCTGGACTATCTGAAGGGGATGTGGAGCCATTGGAGGAGAACAGCAAGGACTGTGTCGTCTGCCAGAACGGGAGTGTGAACTGGGTGCTGCTGCCGTGCCGGCACACGTGCCTGTGTGACAGCTGTGTGAGGTATTTCCAGCAGTGCCCGATGTGCAGGCAGTTTGTGCAGGAATCGTTTGCACTTTGCAGTCAAAAAGAACAAGATAGAGACAAACCAAAAACTCTTTGAAGATGTTGTGACCTGAAAGTTTACACTGAAAGTAAACTTTCTCCCTAAGATGCAGAAACTTGTGTCCTCTAATTAATCGTAACATGGAATGTACAGTACTGACCATCAAAGAAAATTGTGTTTTAACTTCCTGTTTGTGCAATCCATGGATGATGGAAACTAATTCTTCTTCCCTGCTCAGTGTGGTGAACACCGGAATGAATACTGTCTGTGTTAATCATAACAATTCATTCAGCTCGTGAGAAGAGTGTCAACACTGGCCTTTTGTCAGCTAGAAGATCTCACATATTGTTGATGAGAAAATCATTGTGAAAAGCAGTCTGTCTGAGATTGAGGGGATGCCAGTCTCAAGGCGGCGAAATGCTTTCCTTACATAATCTGGAGTGAGATTAGGAAGAAAGAGCTCTTCTTAAAGAAATTGTAAAGGAATGAGGGCTGGGATGTAGCTTGGTGGTACAGTGCTTGCCTAGCATGTGCGAAGCCCTGAATTCAATCCCAGCACAGAAAAAGAAAAAAACAAAAAAAAGAAATTATAAAGGAACAAGAAAGGGCTTCTCACATTAAATCCTTCCCTGAAATGTGTTTTTATAAATACCCATCTGTTTGGTTTCTAATTTTCCTTATCATCATAGTCACATAAACACATCTTAATTTTTAAATACAGGTTCCTAAGTCATAAATGCAAGGTACAAATATCATAGATTAAAATGATTCTCATCTACAGGAGTCAGATGTATAAACCTGGATAATAAAATTTCTTGGCTAATTAAATTTATTAACTTGATTGTCAAATGTGATTAGATTAGCAGAATGTTCTATAGCAGGGAAGATCTGTGAGACTCCACTGCCTTACCTTAGATATCCTCCTGCACAGCAAATCTATCCCAAACTGGAGGAGTTGTGGAGCTAGAAAAATCACTAAAAGGAACAAATAACTTTTTCCTAGTGTATTGTTATTCCAGATGAACTCAGCACATTGGGTAGTAAATTATCTTACTTATGTCCCTTCATATTTCCTTGTAAGAGTTGGGGAACTTGACAGCTCCTACTCTTTCTAAGATGACTAAGAACAAAAGGGAAGTCAGAGAGCCCAGGTCTTTAGTAGAAATCACCTTCAGCTCACCAGAAAGTAGATACTGATGTTTAGGGAGATGTTCAAGCCTTTTCTAAGAAGAGGAATGCCTTACCTTTGTATCAGTGTTTTTGAATATTACTTCATTCCAAACAGATGTAGCACTTTCAAGAAGACATCTATTTTCCATTTTATAAATCAAATTAAACTTTCATTTGCATTCAGTAACTATGTATCAAGTATCTCCCAGTGTTTGAGCTTGAATGGATCAGGCAAGGCTCCTGACCTCAAAATATTTGTGCCTAAAAGAGTCATTGATGGCTGAGTAAGAACACATCCCCATCCTTGGAAGTTCCTGCAGCTCTTTGTAACTCTGCCCCTGGAAGCTGGGTAGTGAGAACTCCAGTCACTGCAGTGTCACAGTGTATCCTGAAAACTTAGTTTGTCCTGTAAACTGAGGCATGCTCAGATTGTTTCCTCTATCCCAGCTATCCTGCCTTCTGTTACAGATCTGTTTGTACCTAAACTGACTCAGGTACATAGTTGCCTTCTCATGGGAAGGACATTTTTTGCAACCCTATTATCTTACTCCATTTTTTCATAACTTTTTTGTAGAGAAAATACATAAAATTTACCATTGTAACCATTTTAAAGTGTAAAATCCAGTGACATTGAAGGACATTTTCAGTATTGTGCAACCATAATGGAATTCTGTCCATTTCCAGAATTCTATCAGGCCAAACCGATACTCTCCCCATACAACACTAACCCCACTCTCCCCTCCCATAGTCTCGTGACTGCCATCTACTTTCTATGAATTTGACTACACTAGGTCCTTCATCTAAGTGGAGTCATGCCATCTTTTTTTGTGGCTTATTTCACATAGCATATGTTTTCAAGGATTATCCATGTTGTAGCATTCATCAAAATTTTATTCTTTTTAAGGCAATAATATTACACATTTTGATACCCATTTATGTGTTATTTTTCATGTCTCTTAAAGATGATTTTCCTTCTGTTCTCTTGCCACAGCTAAAGTAATTGTTCTTCCTGCCCTCAGTGGTAATAAATATGTGGAATTTGGTTAGGCAATTAAGTCAGAACAGGAATAAATGGCCCTGGCTTACAATGGCTCTACTAATAATTTTTCAACTTCACAATATTGCAAAAGTGATACTCCTTCAGTAGAAGCCATACTTCAGATTTTTGATTTTTGGCTAGCATTTGCAGCATGATGCTCTCTCACAATGTTGGGCTTCATTAGGAAGCTACAGCTCCCAGTCAGCCACGCCACCACAAGGGTAAACAACTGATACTCTACAGTGTGCTGAGTTGCTAAGTTAGGATGGTCATAAGAGTGGTAGCTGTATTAAATACATTTTCCACTTACGGTATTTTTCAGTCTACCTTTTGTTTATTAGGATGTAACTCCATCTTTAGGAGGAGCTATAACACTGATTCCTGGAGGCTTATGTCAGAATTTTCCAGAAGCAGTGAATAGTGACATTATGTGAGAACATCTGTAAAAGCATTTGATATGAATAGATTACTAGAAAGATAAAACATCTGGTTCATATGGACTAGTGCTGCTTTCTAAAAATTCCAACCAGGGCTATACTCAAGTTGACTTGACAAGCTAGTCACTTGTGTCTTCCCTAACCTTTTTTTCTTCTTAACTTGATGCCTGGTGGAAATTGTTTTGTTTGTTTTATATTTGGCACTGCTGGGGTTTGAACTCAAGGCCTTGTGTTTGCCAGGTGGGTTCTCTACCACTTGAACCATGCTGCCAACCCCTTTTGTTTTATGTATTTTGTGAATAGGGTCTTACAAATTTATGTCTGGACCAAGATCCTCCTATTGATGCTTCACATATGTCTGGGATGACAGACATGTGCCACCACACCAAGCTTTTATTAGTTGAGATGGGGTCTTGTGAACTTTTTGTCTGAGCTGGCCTCAAACCACAATTCTTCTGATTTTTGCCTCCTAGGTAACTGGGATTACAAGTGTGTACCTCCATACCTGGCCTACTGAACATTCTTAATGTCTAAACCAGCTCTACAGAAGGGACTTACAAACTGTTACTTAAGTACTTACCAGTCATTGAATTATCTCATGTGAGGTTATCTTATTTGTTAAGCCTACCATTAGTCACAGAATTGAGAGCTCTGTCTTGGCTCTTGAATTCTGAAGCATCAACATAGGCAGCTAGGTCTTAGGAAAGATGGAGAAAATGCTGTTGGTCTCTCATACAGTAATTCAGTCCTGCCTCAGGTGGGCCTTACCCTTCTGGAAGTTTCCACAACTCCATTTCCCAGGTCTTGGACATGGAATCCCCCTCTCTGAGCATGTTTCTATCCTTGTATGTCTCCTATATTGTATTCCTCCTAAACCTTTTCTTCCTTGTCACCATGACCTCTACTTGCTGGGCCCCTGAGTAATGTAATAATTGATTAACTTGCCCCTAGGTTCCCTGTTCAACTATTTAAAATGTGTTTTCATCAGAGCTTGCTTTCTTTGCCCCTTCACATTTCCTGCCCCAGCAACCCACAAACTTGGCTTAACTCAACTGTGCTATGTTATACTAGGTCAAGTGACCTGACCAATTAATAGAGTCCACTGCAAAGTCACATTGTTTAGTTGCATCAGGCCTTCAGCACTGTTCAACAAATCTTTTTTTTTTTTAATCCTCTAATGGACCTACTACCAAATTCTCAGTAGCCATTCCAAACCTCTTCTACTCTTCCCAACTTCTGTCTCACACCACTGTATCACTCTCAGTGAAGAACCTTCAAAGGTAGCCTGGTGTGGAAGTGAAGATAACAAGCCCCAAAGTCAGATATCTTGGGTTTTTCAGTCAGTTCTGCCACTAAATTGCTAGTCACCTTGAACAAGTTACCTAATGTCACTCTGCTTCAGTTTCCTTATCTATAAAATGGTGGTAATAACAGTGATAACTTACCTACAGGCTGTTGAGGGGTTCACAGCAGTTAATATGTATAAAATACTTAGAAGAAGGCCTAGCACAGACTGGTGCATGTGACAGGCTTTACTCTCAGTGATTTGCCTAGGTGGTCAAAGCCAATAGACTTCCTTTTCTCTCTTCCCTAAGAAAAGAATGTGTTATATCTCCTTTAAGGCTAACACTGTATGTTCTTGATCTCATCTCTGCTTGCCCCTAAACTAATTATTTGATAATTATTGAGTGTCAAAGATATACCTTGCTTGGGCTGTTATGAACAATGCCTCGATAAGTTTTTAGGTACAAGTTTTGTGTGTGTATATATTTTCATTTCTCAGGTATATATGTAGGGAAAGGAAAAACTTTTTCTCTACTCTTAGATTTTATTGTTTTGGGGTCTATGAGTTAAGCTGACAAATCACAGATTAACCAGACAGAAGACAGATTTTAATCATATACATATAGGAGTTCACAAAGAAACTTGAATCAAAGGAGTGGTTAGAATATAGAGTCTACATATCATCCCAAGAAATGAAGGGGATGGAGAGCAGGGCCCTTACAGAAGGATGACCTTTGGAGAAGATAGACGGGCCCTTAGCTGAACAGATGGAAGGAGATACAGGTCTTGCAAGTGTCTCTGTCTAGGTATGGTATTTGGAGACTTCCCAGTTCTGGTGATGATTCAGCTTCCTTGGTTGAGACAGCAGAGGGGACTTAGGGCAATTGGGTTCCTTTCGGAGGCTCTGCCTTTAGGTTGATAAGTGATTATAGGCACTGTTGGCAATAATGGCTTCGGTGGGTTCCTGTTTCTTGCTGCACCCTTAGGTTTCAGTTTCCCAGGGTCACAATACCACCTAGCTTGGACTTCCTTACTTCCCAACCTCCAATCAGCATGAACCACAGGGTCCTAACCAATCGGATAATGCCAAATCTCACTGAGGGGTATTTAAGCCCCTGCCCTTCCTGCTTCTCTCTCTCTTGGCACTCTCCCTCTCCAACCCGGCAATAAAGAATATCTTGTCCAGGTCACTCCTCTCCGCGTGGTCACTTTGGGCCTACATTTGCCTTACATTTGGTGCCGTGACTCGGATTGGGGTTCCCCACTAATCCTGGTGGGACCCCAATTCTGACTCGCCCCATGACCACCCTGAGGATGTGACTGGCCAGGACTCATCCTCCCAGTCACCCTCTCTCGCATCCAACACTGGACATTCTTTGGTGAGTTCACCTACCCTTCTTGGGCTCCCTTTGTGGTCTCTCCCTTTGGTGTCTCTGGAGTTTTAGAACACTTCCCCTGCTTTGGGCTATCTCTGGGTGGCTCAGATGGTAGAGGGATCCCCTTCTCCGCAGGGCTTGGATTTTACAGGGTCTGGGACCCTACAAAATCTAGGCCTAGGTAATCCAAGCCTCCGGCCTCTGGCCTGCAAACCACCTGAACTCAGTGACGACTGATTCTTGTGCGTTTTGCATTCTCTCAGATATTTGTGCTGCGCGGGGACACCCCACAGTACATAATATCCTCCTCTCCCATTCCAGGACCAGGTCCCTCATAATGGGTGCCTCTACATCTTCTCTGCCGTCTGACTCCCCACTGAGATGCCTCCTCAATAATTTGGACACCTTGGGTTTGACCCCAGATATAAAACAAAAAATTTGATCCGCTTTTGCACTCAAATCTGGTCCACTTATCCTTTAGACAAACAAAGTCACTGGCTCCTTTTCAGGTCTTCAGATCCCAACCTTTTATGGGACATATAACTATTGTGAGCGATCAGGACGATGGGGAGAGATTCCATTATGTCCAAGCCTTTTCATACCTCTGTCTAAATCCGGCTCTCTGACTTCAAACCCTCCCTCTGTACTTTCTGTTCCCCTGTGCAGATTCTATCAGCCTGTAAACCACTTTCTAAATCAGTCAATTCCTCTCCCAAACCTCCTCCTTCCCCATGTAAGCAGACTTCTTGCACTGCTTACCATACCTATCTCTTCCTATCTTCATGAAAAACTTTCCCTGTCATGGTGTTAAGCAAGCCACTCCTTGCCAATTCTGGCCTCAAGGCAGTTCCAGCTCTGGAAGAGCTCATGCTCCCTTCCTGTGGGCTGAGACCAAGCCCCAGATTTATTCGGTGACCAGAGAGTGGAGGTTTCGTTTTGCCGAAAGCCTGCCAGTACCAATCAATGGGAGCAACCTAGAGATACAGGTGATGGCTAATCCCTTAAGTGTGTGTCATGCCTCCAGGCTCTACCTTCCCCTCCCTTACCTAAGATGTCAGTACACCTTTTCTGCCTCCTCCATGGTCTCACCACATGTCCTCTGTCTCTGTCTGCCTTCCCCTCCCTGGGCTTACTGGGACACTGCCTCCCATGAAAAACCTGTAGCATGGTACCTTATGACTTAAGTTATTCCAACTAGTTTGCCAGGCCTCTCAGTCTAAAGTAACTTTAAATTAGCTGCTTTACAAAAGCGCTTACAAAAAACTGCGGCTGCCACGCTTGCGCTGTAACTCCCGTCCCCACAAGAGGAGGATGGAAAGCAAACAGGCACATCTGTGCACAGGATGCCGGCTTCTGGACACAGCAAAATTGGCTGCCATAGCTAAGAGAATCCATAGAGAGGACCTAGCACATCCTGGGCCGCCAGCCACACGTAGTGATGGCTGCAGCCTGCCGCCACTTCCCCTAGAATAAATACGCGCAGAGTACACAGAAAGGGGGGAAGGGTGACAGGCCACAGGATCAGGCCTAGGTG